CCTGGACGAGCCTGCGACCGCGGGCCCGAAGGAGAAGGACGAGGCGCTGGAGGAGAAGCTGAGGAACTTAACTTTCCGGAAGCAGGTCTCGTACAGGTAGGCGCGCGAGCCCAGGCAGCCCGGAGACAGGTGCCGCCGCGGGGCGCGAGAGCCGCTCCGCGCCGTCGGAGAGGCGCTTCCACATACTCGGGGGCACCTGGCTGGCTCTGTGTCTCTCTCTTTCACTCTCTTCCTCTTTCCCTCCCTCCCCCTCTCTCTGCTTCTCCCCCATCCCCCTTTGTGGGGATGTATATTCACTTCTTATCCCTTCATTCTGGGCTGAAGGGAAGCTACGTGCGCCTGGTGTTCCCCCTCCCCCCGCCCCAGCAGGAGACAAGCCTGGGTCCCTGAGGTCAGAACAATAAAAATGCGTGCGGGGTCGGGGGAAAAGGGAGGGCACAAACAGAGACGCCAGGTTTTCTTGAGAGAAGTCCTCAAAGTTGTCCCTAAGTCGGTGTCACCCTCGACCACTCCCCCTACCTTCCAGATTTCACTGGATGAACCTTTGGTACTAACTTGAATGCTTGAGAGCACAGGCAGGCAGCAAGAACAGCGCTATATCCTGAAGAGAAATCCTTACGGAAGTTAGACCTGCATCGAAATCCCCCATTAGGGAAGAGTCGTTGTGAATCCGTGTCTGTAGATACGCAGCAGGCTGAGGTGCAGGGGGATCGGGTCACCCGTACACGTGCCCTCTCCCTCTCTCCCGGGTGTGCCCAGAAAGATTTCTTGGGGAGCCTGCTGGCAAGCAAGGCATGAGGGTGAGAATGGGGCCATGCTTGCCCCTGGGGTGGACATAGTTGCAAGACAAGGACAGTGTGGGATAAATGACCACCAAATGACGATAAAGGACTACCCCGAATTGTGTCGGGATTCAAAAACGAGAAATGAGGATTCGGTAGGTTCTCTGCTTCCCCCTACCCCTCATCCTCAGGCAAGAATAAAGATACTGACAGGTTTGAAGAGTTTTGGAGACTACCCTTACTGCTTGTTCATTTTAAAAGTTGAGGTGATAAAAAGTGCAAAGGTTTGCACTTGCTCAGGCTGAGTATTTCTTGAAAAGGGGTCAGTAAAAGCATTCCTGTGACCCTCCTCCTTTTGAGTTGGCAAAACCCGTATAAAGTATTAAGACTGTCACACCATGTGCTGTTATGTAAGCAAAAGCAGATGACAGAGGTGTGTGGGTTTGTGAGGGTGTGTGTTGTATTTCTGGGGGCGTGTGTGTGAGTCACTGGGATCCCCATAGGCATGGCCTGGACTGGAGGCCCCGGTCACTAGGGCATGTGCTCTGTGTCTAAGGGGTGGCTTCTGACGACTCCAAAATGGTCTTCCCGGGGAGGGTGTTGCTGCTTCGTCCGCGGTGTGCATTTTGTTCACTGTGTGTTGAGGGAGTTTCCCACCTGACTTGCTCTTTTAAGTTACTCGTGTAGATCAGGACAAAATGGACCGTTCTCTTTATATTTTTGGTTTCTAAAAATAGACAGGCAGTGGAGAGTAAGGTAACTCTAGGGAGGCATGCTAGGACACAGGCAGCTCTACTTCCTAGTTATGATGGCCTGTCTGGCCCTTCGGGGACCAGGGACCACATTCAGCCTAATTTAGGAGCTGCAAGTTGGACAGGGGTGGGGGTGGCTGGTTACGTGAATCGCATTGTGGGTCTGGGCTCCAGGGCCGGGCAAACAAACGTTCCTGTGTCATTGGTATTCATCAGACTCCTCACTGGCTAGGGCTACAGAGCCAGGGTTTGCAAGGGAAATCATTTCAGCTCTCCTCTTGCAGGGGTCATTCCCAGAGCCTCTGTCTCGGACATGGGTACTGGTGGGGCTGTGGCTTTCTGGATTGCACACTTACATGTGCGTGTGTAAGGGTGTACACATACAAACGTGGATGTGGACCCAGACACAGTGTTTTTCTCTAGAGAAATAATAACGTTGCATCTGCCTTACAATCCATAGAGGAGGATCCTACTTTGTGAACATCATTTCCTTTTAAAAAAGCCTTAACAGTCTCCAAATCAAGAAACTTCCTGCTTCAGCGTCACCTCAGGTGGCTGGTTAAAAATGCCCACCACCCCAGGCTCACAAAATCAAAGTCTCTGTGGGTGGGAGTTTGTAACAGGCTCCTCAGGCAATGCACAAACACACTAACAGCTGAGGATTGCTGCTTAGTTTTTCCCCCCAAAGGCTAAAAAATTGATCTTTGAACTCATAAGCCATGCCCAGCCAAACAAGGCCAGGCAGTCCCAAAGTCAGAGGAAAGACAGAAAAGGTAGGGATTTCATCTGGCACGTGTTTGTCCTGGGCAACCTGGAGGGTGCCTCCGGTGGATGATGATGATGATGATGGTTGTTTTAGAGTCCACCCCCTCACCATGGCAGCCATCCATGCTAGACTCAGATGTGACCTGGCCATTTCCCTGGTTAATGAGTGATCTGTAAGGAAACAGCAGCTTTGACTTGGAGTTTGGCTTTGGCTCCTCAGTGAGGAACTCACCATCTCACTTCTGGGGGGCACCCAGGATGGCGACTGGTGCAAGTTAATGGAGAGGGGTCAGAAGGACTTCACAGAATGGAATCAGGGTTCAGGTAGGGTGTGAAGAATGGCTGCTATGGAGGGAGGACCATTTGAGGTGGAGAAGAAGAGATTTGCAAGTGGTCAAGAATGTCTTTTGAAGAACATGGATATATGCAGAGTGACACTTGACAGGAAAGAAGAAGGGGGCTTGGGGAGAGGGTGTGCGCGTGCGTCTGTGTAGGGGGGTCTCATCTGCTCCTTCTGTTGCTAAGGAACATATAAGCTGGGGTTTAAAAATAAATGAGGAGTGGGTGGGCATATGCAATGACTCCTGTCTTTTTAGGAACCAGAGCCCTTTACAAAAAAACCTTTAAATAACCGTTTCTGGAGGCAGATTATTCATTTTGCTTGACTTTTACTTTGTTAAGTAAAATAAACTCCTTTATATACCCCTCGATTTCCCCTCATTATCTTCTCGTTCCTTTTTTGGGAGCCATTTCTTCCATGAGAATTTTTCCTTTATTTCAGATCCTGCTCCCCTAGAGCAGAGAGTCTCTGTAGACCGTGAAGCTGAAGGTTTCAGAAGGCAGTGCAAGTGAGCTGGTACTTTTCTCTTGAAATTACTACTTCCTTTTTCTTCGCAAATTATGGCACTGCAACAGATACATATGTGCCAATGACTCTATAATGTGTAGGAACTGGTTTTTTTTAACCACTGTAAGAATTCCCATTTAAGTCAGTAAAAATTAAAAAAAAAATCTTTTAGAAACACACAGGGGAGAGGAAGGAGAAGGCAGCTGATGTTCGTTGTTTTCTGTGTCCAGGGCACTGCGCCGAGTATTACTGTATGCTATGTCTTATTTACACATCATGACAGTCTTATGATGTGATTATGGTTATCACGATTTTATAGAAAATGAACCTGAGGCTAGAGCTTAGACAGGAGGCAGAATTTAAGTCCAGATCTGACTCTAAATGATGTTCTCGTTAGACCACATCACGCTTCCCTAAACCCTCACTTCTGCTTTGAGCTCTTTCCTTGTGTGTCTGTGTTCACATGTTTGTGTGCACTGTGAGCTGTCCTTTCACCTCTTCCGTATGTACCACAGGTCATTATTTGTTACCTCTTGTATACGTTACTCTTCGGACTGTGTTCCTTTGGCTATGTAATTTTAAGGAGCTCCTCTACTCTTTCAGAAACAGAAATGAATATAAATTCATGATCACCAGAAAATGTATTGGTTTTGCTTCTGAGAGCAAAACCACCTACATGACACCTGCCATCTCTACGAAGATACCCAAGTTTGAGTTTTATACGCCTTTTAATAAAAACTATGCAGGTGTTGTGTAGGTGAACCTAGATCCAGTGAAGAGCTGGCCTGTCTGTGCCTCTTTGAGCCGCACAGAATACATGATGGAGTGTGATTTTGCTTGTAAGGAGGACTGGACAGTTACCATTACCTATGAGGTGTTGATGCCTGTGCTTCAGTTTCTCTCCTTATAAACCAGGATGGTAGGACCACAGCCTCCTTAAAGAGAGTTTTTGGTATGAGATAAAAATAGCAGCAAAGAGCATTGAACTCCTTAGTTTATGCTACGAGGTGAGAAGGGACTATTATTCTTTATAGGTGGAGAAGCACATGGTATTTCCATTTGGTGTATTGTCCTTCAACGCAAGACTGTGATTATGGGAAAGACTGTTGGGGTGTTGAAAGCCAAGTGGGAGAGAACGGACATTGTCCTTCCTTGCATGGGAATCAGTAGTGTATGGGGGGGGAGTTTTCTTTTGCTGAATGTCAGTGTGCATCATCCTCCTTGGTAAATCAGTTTTATTTATTTTATGTTTTAGTCTGTTTTATGCCTTTGCTTGATATTTAGAGATTTTAGGATCAGATAAAAACCTTGGTTCTAATTTGATATTTCTTTCCACAGTAATTACTGAGGACTTGGCTAAGTGTAGACTTTCTCAATCAGGACACACACTAGGCAAGACTGTGCTTGAACCACTGTCCAGAGTACCTAATCTACTCTAATTCATCTTTTGTCAGCTTGGTGTTTACATGGGAGGGTGACAGCTCTGGGTCCTGTGGCACCAGGGGATGAGGACACTGACGGGAGCTTTGCTGATACTCATTTCTGCTGTGGCAACAGCGGCATTGCTGGTAGCATCAGATTGAGCTGGACTAGAGCTGGCAGTTTGGAATTCTTTACTGTCTAATCTGAGAAGATGAGGACTCTGAATGAGGGCCCAGGCAAGCTGCACCTTCCATGCTTTTCTGGGCTGGGATCTGGGATACCCCATTCCTTCCCCAACCTTGAGGTGTCCTTGAAGTGGGTTCAGAGGCACTCACTCTGAGACCAGAAGCATCTGGAAGGACCCTTGTCTGCATGTTGGGCTGTGACATTTGCTTTCTCACACGAGTTTGCATTGGAAACGCTGATCCTAATTGGTTTTTTTTTCTGAGACCCTGTGGTTGCAGTGAGGATAGTGGTCACTGCATTAAAGCTGGTATGTGAATGGATGACTGAGGGAGGAGGTAAGGA